GCTGGGCGAGGGCGGGGGGGCCCACTCTGTGCCTCTGGGGCCGGGGCAGGGCAGGCTGAGGGGCTGTTTCCTAAAGAAGTTGCTTGGTGGGAGGAACAGAAAGTGCAGGGGGAAGTGAGAGAAAAAGCAGCAAACTTCTTTTTTTTTTCTTTTAACGGCAAATTAAACCCCGGGTTTAATGCTGTCATGCCTTCAGATCTTGAAATGTGGGCAAGCGAGGCTTTCTGCTTTCTGTGCATCGCTTGATGAAAATCAAACCTAGCAGTACTGAAGGCCCATTTTATTTATCTCCTGAATGAAGGGATTATTAAAACAGCACTTTGGCTTGTTCTCCATGCTCTGAACACCTCCATGTGCGCCTGCCCGCATCCCTCAAGTCACCCTGACATCACCTTTGACCAGAAAAATATCTTGTAAGTGCAAAATACAGGTGGACAATGGTGAACACCATGAATCACTAAAGCACATGATGTTTGTGCGACTGTCTGTGGGCGGGTTTGGTGGGCAATAGTCTGTGGTGGGTGTATTGAACACCCCAGGGATCCTTTGGGGTGCCCAGACTGGTTCCTGAGTCCTGGCTGGGCTACCCAGCAATGCAAAAAGCTGCTGACTTCAGCAGCTTTGACCAGAACCTTCTCTTGGCAGCGCTAGTGCATCATCTCTCTGAAATGAATGCGCGAGTCTGGGCTCCTGAGATTGGGTCCCTGAGCTTCGGCTCCTGCCCGGCTCTTGTCCAGGGTGAGATGGGACTTGTGGGCAGTGCAGCCATGAGCTCTGAAAATCAGCTCCGGAAGCACTTAGCTGATTTGGGGCTGCAGGGGGGTCACCTTGGTGGGGTGAGGAGCCAGGCTGGGGGTGATTTAGGTTTTTAACCAGCGCTTGGTTACCCCCAGGGGCTGTGAGCCATGCTGACAGCATCCGGCCTTAACAGGAAACCACCGTGCGTGGCTGCTCCAGGCCTCCGCAGCCTGTGGTTGATATTCCCCTCTCCTTTCTGCCCCCCCAGCCAGCCCCTTAAAATAATAGCAGCAAACTTTTCCCTGATGCGCAAACAGCATCAGGGCTGCGGCCCTGCCCTGCTCTCTCCTCGTCTCCTGGTCCCATCGCCGGGCTCTGTGCAGGGTCCCGGGAGTCCTTGTCCCCCTACACCCATCTGCAGTGCCGGTGGTGTGCCCAGCCTCCTGGGAACCTCACCTGGAACCTCACCACCACCGTTTGGATGCCACCCATGAACCTTTCCTTCATGTCAGCCTCCTGCTTCTTGTCATGTTTAAGGTGGAGTCCT